GTGTTATATTGACGATCGGGAAGTGGGGGGTTGTTGTGTTCGTCGGAAAATTTGAATTTTTATAATTTGAAAGAGCGGACTTTGGGAGTCAACATTGTTGATAGCGGTCCGGGCACGTTAAATCACGATGCATGGACGTTTGTTGAGAGCATTGTCTCTCCTTTTGCCGATACCTAAACACAAGCACTCGATGGAAAATTGTTGGTGTAATTCCTCTATTTTAATTGATCCCTACGTACCTTGATCTTCGGTTACTCGATTCTTTGATTTTAGTTTGATTTTCGTAATATATCTGTTAGCAATTTATTTTAATAATTTTGATGAATATATTTTTTTGTGTCTTTGAGAAGTTAATACATTGGTAAATTTTGTTGTGCATGATGAAGGTTAATTAATCCCGGTAGTGCCTTGAAAATTTCGACACTTTGCAATGTTACTTAAAACAAATTCGATGAAAGAAGGAAGTTCCCGACCCAATTATCGGGTTTCTTATTTATCAAAACCAATTTGGCTATTAAAATGTGAATCCCAAAATCTCAATACGGAAAATTCCAAACTTACCTCTACTCACGAAAACACTTTCGGTCACTTATGTTCGCAGCTCGACAAAATACACTTTAATCGTCATATTTGGAAATATTGGATCCACCCGTTTAAGGTATGTTAGTAACTAACCGAAATTTGAAATTGGGGGAAAATCGGGGTGCCGAAGCTCTAATTACTATCAGTTTCTTATTCCAAATCTTCTGATGAGATAAAAACATGAAAACCAAAAAATAATAAGAAAAAAAAATGAAAAAAAAACAAATAGGTTGAGATCACTTTTCACACTCTTTCCTCACAAATAGGTTTGAGATCTTGCAATATTAACACTATCATATCATGCAAATTAAAAGGATATTTGACTAAACGTATAAACTCTTAAAAGCATCTTATATTAAGTAGCTTATAAACTATTAAAAGCTGTTTAGTAATTTGGATTAATTATATTTAAATGCAATTCAATTTTATGTTTAGGAAATTAGAATTCAGACCCCTAATTTAAGTTTTAGAAGTTAGTAAAATTGCAATTTGGCATATATTGGAAAATTTGCTAGACACCCCTTATTTTGAACTTATATAGGTAGAGTTCCTAGTTGCTAGATGAATATAGGCATAGGTCATTTGACCACAAAAAATAATATAAATAAAATAATTAGTATATAGACATAAACATCCTTTGTCCATAAATCTTTTCTCTCCAATCTCACGTTTTTCTCACCCTATGTTTAATCCATCATATCTCTCTCTCTCTCTCTCTCTCTCTCTCTCTCTCTCTCTCTCTCTCTCTCTCTCTCTCTCTCTCTCTCTCTCT